CAATAGCAATATTATAAACTTGGTTTGGAAAAGTAATTTTTTATTTCTGAAAACTGTTTTAACAAAATCAATTCTGCTTATTGGTATTCTCATGTTCATGTAAAATAAGCAATGTGGAACTTCTTGTTTTTTCAAGACAAGAAAGAAGAACTGTCTGCAATAAGCTTTGCCTTGCTGCCTTCTTTTTCCTCACCGTATTTCTTTCCCACCCTTTAACTCCTGGCCCCAGTCCCTTTTTTCCCTTCTGCACTGACAGCTTTTTTCCAATGAATATCTGTAAAGCATCAGAGAAAATATAGCTGGAGGGATACTGAGCAGTCATCTAGTCCATTCCTCTGTCCCAAGTTACAACTCAGAAAGCTTTATCTTTTTTTTTTTTTTCATAGTTTAGAACGCATTACTTCTATAATCTACTGTCATGAGAAATAGTGCTTTCTTAGATCTGTTATAGAAGTTAAAAAGTGTTAGAAGTTGTTTTCTTAAAAATACAGATGACATGCTTTATGATGTTGCCTCTTTGGGAATAGATTTTGGGAGAGAAATTGCCTTGAAGATATGCATATGTTTTCCTCTGCACTTAATGTGTGTCATACTTGCCTGCATTTGTCTTCTGGAGAAGTTCTAGGTTGGAACATCTTGCATACTTCTTTTTAAGAATTGCACATGAATCACTTTTCTCTTTGTATCAATTATACCATACTGAAAGTTTTGGTCCCTCGGCAAACCTCTCCATGCTTGTCTCTCTACTGACTTCTAGCAAGGAATATGAACTTTCCAGTGCTATAGAATATTTAGCAAAGGAATTTTCAAGTGTTACTGGCACATGCTAAGATGTACGTCCTGGATGTGGTAGGCGTAGGAAGAAGTGATGTTGGTACATGCATATATATATATATCTGTTGATACATGTAACACACAAACTGTTTTATGTATGCACTTTGATTTTCTCTTGCTACTACATTTACCTAAAATCAGTGTAAAGCTTTTGTCCCAAAAAATCTGGTGGAAAATGAGGAGAAATTCTGTAGTTCCTCAGCTGGCTATAGCAACAGCTATTTCGGAGTGGTTCTCATCCTCTCACCCATAAAATCAGAATTAAATTGACCTAAGATAGCCAGATCAGATGGTGTATCTGGAAAGTAATCCTCGGGGAAAAAGAAAATTCATTCTTTGTAAATATAAAGATAAAGTGCATAGAGTTGCAGAATCGGATTATACTTTCTCTTTTTATTTCTGAATCAGTACTCTTTTGTTTCTTCCTTTGCAGCACTTGTGAGAAGTTGCCACAAAGATATGTCAAATGCTGCCTGAGCCTAGCTCCGAAAGCAGAAAGCAACATAATCTTTTGAATTAAAAAACCCAATCCCTGACTCGGATAATTATCATAAAATCCTGAGGCTTTTTATAGGTGTTAGGGTTTGGTTTCAGAGACTAAAGGCATAAAAAGAGTATAGTAACTTTTCTTTTTGAAGCACAAGTCACATCAGATTTTCTTACTTAATAAATGTGTGGCAAGTACCTACTAAAATAACCAGTTAAAAGCCAGTAATAACAGCTGCTAAACCCAGCTCGAAGCAGTTGGACAAATCTTGGAGGCATGTAATTTTTGCTGAGTGTAGCACTGAATGTTTTTCTTGGATTTAGTTAGGAATATTTTTTCGAATGGTGGTGCTTGTTTTCATGAAAGAGTAGTAAAAGCATTATTCTGCCTGTTTAGATCACTTGATTTTAATTATTCTCTCATGATATAAATATCCTTTCATGATATGAATGTAAATGTTGTTATACCTATAGTTGAGTGAACTAGAATTTACTTAAATATGTTTTTACCATTTCAAGTGAAACTGGAGTAGTATAATATAAAATATTGTATAAAATACTACTAATATTGTATTATTAATATAAAGAGAAGATGGCAAGCTGAGCAGGACACTAAATTAAGGTTGTAGGGTTTTTATCTGTTAGCATATCAGGGCACCAAAAGAACTTTCTGAGGCTGTTGATCTTGTTGCTTGTAGATAAAGGGTGGTCCTGTGAAATGCTTTCAGCTCTATTGACATCATTGAGGTGTGAATTTTACTCATGTTTTGACCCTAAACCCAAGATACCTAGTGCCAAGTTTTGTTTAATTCTAAGATTGTACTTTGCTCCTGATTGTGACCTTTTAAAACAACACCTGGGTTTCTTGCTGTTGCGATTTGCTTCCTTTTTTGAAGCCTGGCAGTTACATCTGCACTAAGGACAGTGAAAGAAAGAAATTACATTTCTGTCCGATTTCGGAAACCTCAGTGATTTTGTTACTGTGTTGCTAAAGCATTCTCTATACTAAATGTTTCTCGTGTCACTGTACTTCACATCTGCCAAAATCATCTGCCTGGCTTTGTTGCTGGGAAGGGGCGAGCCTGCCAAGCCCCTGCTGCCGGTGCTCCGGCAGCCTTGCTGCAGGACGGTCCCTGCTCCTCCTCGCAGGCAACAGTGCTCGGGTTTAGCAATAGAAGCAACTATAAATGGCAGAGCAAGCCTTGGGAAGTCGTGAACAAGAACTGGGTGATAAGAAAGGGAAGTAAGGGCAGCTGGTAACTGGCTTGTATTGCACGAGGTCTTAACGCTTAAGGCTGGAGCACTGCCGGGTGAAGCAGTCCCACTTTCTTTTCACCGCAGCTCCCCGTTCCCCAGTTTTTCTTCCTTTTTTTCTGGCACAAAACAAATGTTTTTGGGGAACTGATGTAGTTGATGCTGACCTGAGAAGTTTCAGACACTTGGTTTGATCTTGGTTGGTTCCCTCATCTGGTTCAATGTAGCTGTGGAAGAGTCTGTACCAAGACAAGACAGACAGTGCTACAGGATCACCAACAAGTACCTGGTAGTGGAGTGCAGTGGGATTGCTCATTTGCTGAGGCATTTATGCTTGAAATGTTTGTGGAGGTATGGCATTAGGTTTACAAGCTCTGTTAAAGTAGCTTTTGGATTCTGCACAGTTTTCACTGGTTTATAGCAAGTAATTTATGAATTAGGTGCCATTAAGTATTTAATATCTCTTGCCATACTTACTACTCCCTGAATTTATCAGGGATCACTGTTGATATGTAATTGCTTTGTTTTTCATGATACTAATTTGGAATAAAAATGAGCTCCATTATAGGCTAGGCAGGCACTGAGATATTCAAACTCCTCTCGTACCTGGTTATTACAGAGATGTGTTGTCAATTTAAATACACACAAAATAGATGGGGATGAAAAGTCTCTGTCCTAAGTAACTATTTATTTGATCTCATATTCTTATAAACGTGGCATCTTATCTCTTGTTTTGTATCTGCCTCCAAAAGTTCTTGCTCTCTGTAGTAGATGGAGAAAGATTCCTTGTGCAAAGTACGTATATTTTAATAAATAATAGCTGCAGAACCCTCCCTGGATGTTGTTAGGAGGAAAAATATACTTGTCCAACAAGAGAAGTCAAATGCCTCCATTTTTACCTCAAATGTCACTTAGATTTGACTTAGATGCAAATTAGGTCTAAATTGTGTTGAGTTGATTGACAAGTTGAATTTTGGAACTGTTGGTTTAACATCTGGCCTGGGGTGAAGGAGGAATGCTGACTTCAGTCTCCAGCTCCTGGTGATTGGGCCAGCAGCAAACACATGGGTGCAGCAGCTCTGTGTTGAATAGTAGCATTTGAAATCAGCAGCTGGGAATAAAAAAATCCATCAGTGGCATTTCTCTCCCTTTGAATCTCCAGTTTGCAGCAGAAAACTACATGAGATGATGAAGAAGAGTAGAAGCCTCCATATTTTGCCAAGAGTGGAGAACCCTCTGGTTCTGACATAAAACCTAGTGATGAGAGGGAAGTTGCTGAGTTATCACACAGTGCTGGTGTTAAAGCCTGAAGTGGAACTCTGAATAGTTCCTGGCTCCTTAGATGACAGGAATTGCAGCAGCTCTTGAGGTGGACAAAGGGTGGCAGGTCTCATCAGGTGGTGTCCCCCGGCGCTTACTGGCGGGTTTCTCCATTAGATTTCCTGCCCTCTGGCACCCCAAGCTGTTGTCAGCCATGCCGGCCACTGGCAGGAGGATCTACCTGATGGTGGCTGGGGCACGAGCAGAATTTGGAGGACTCGTCCTCTGGTCCAGGCTTTGTCACTGACCTGGGTCTTCCTTGCAGGAGGACAGGTAATTTCCCTTTTAGCACATGGACAATCACTGGTGCTGAGCCATTGTACAGAAGTGCTGTGAAGCTTCCTGGGTATTTGTGATATGGTGTAAGAGTAGCACCTTAGGAAGGTTTTATATTACAGGAGATTAAAAGCTTTGAGGGTGCTGAGGAGCATAATTCTTTTTTCTGTTGAAAGGTTATGGTTCAGGTTGTTGTATTATATGCCTTCAAAATAACATTAATTTTAGAGTAATATACAGGGTAAATAACAGTGATTGTTTTGTTTTTAACAGTTTAGAAGAGGTTAATGAAAACTTCAAGCTATTATTGAAATGCTGGTTTTAAATGACTCTGAACAGAGAACATTGAAATCTGCTAGCTCTTCTAAACTCTTCCTTGAGAATGCTGGTTACATTGCTACTATCTTTAAAATCACAAAGGATGTTTTCCTGCACTTTATAAAGATCTTTGTTTTCCTTTCTTATATTTTTATTCTCTTTTTTTCCTGGGGAGGAAAGAGGTTTTATATCACTTTATTTCTTAATTAAATTAAAATGTAAAAATTGAACATGTGCTTAAAAAATTAAGTATTCAAAGATGAAAGAGTTGAATATGAAAATAGTTTGGTACATCATAACCTGCTACCATATGTAAAACAATAAACATACAGTTTCATAAATATGAAATAAGTCTTTTTAATAATCCAGTATCTTCCTTGGTTTTTAGATACATTTTTGCACTTGCCTCAAAGCTTGATGCTAAGCTGACCCTCTCTTTAATATTAATGTACTCTGACTGTAATACTCTGTTCCTTTGCCTCTGATTAATGCTGTCTGTCAATTATTTACAGATCCAGTGGTACTGTGGAAGTTCCCGGAGGACTTTGGAGACCAGGTTGGAAACATGAGATTTAACTTTTTTTTTATGATAGAATAATAATAAAAATGCTCTCCTATTCAACTGTGAAGAGGCAGATGCTAATGATAAGAGGGAGGAAGTCTTCACCCAACTGGTGGCTTGGTGATTAGATTGCCTTTGTGACAGGAATATGCAATAGCAGTTGTAAAGCATGGAATGTCATGCTAATTCTCTGTATCACCTTATTTTTGATATGTAGTATTTTATCAGGTCATACTGTTGAATGTGTTGGGTTTTTATCTGTTGTGGTACTAAAAATGTGGAAAATTTATCAATAAAACTTTGCCAAATGTTGATGTTATGAACTGTTGTCATAAAACCCACCAGAACAAAAAAGTTAGAACTGCCCATATAGGCCCTTTTAATGTCATCCTGTAATCCTTTTCAATGCAAGATTTTAGATATTTAATTAATGATATTTTAGAGATACCCTTGTTATTTTCTTGGGAAAAAAAATAAATCCTCAGACCCTTATCAGAGACTGATCTAAAGTTCCTGATTTTGAAAGCATGAAAATCCAGTGTTCTATCTATAATTAATCCTCAAAGGAAAGTTTATATATACAGGACTGATGGATTTTTTTCACTGTTTGTAGTGACAGCCAGCTATTAATTATTTTGTTGGGTTTTTTGCTACATGACTATTTTATTAAAATTATTAATATTAAATGTTAATGAAATTCAATTTTATTATTTCAGCAACTTTTACATGAGTTTCTTACATTGAAATATCTTTATTTTCATAAAAGAAAATACAACCCCCCCACACTAAATAGAGTAAATATCTCAGTCCCGGTGTCTCTTTTTCCTGTTGTTTTTAGACTGATATGGAGTCAAACATATTCTTCATTGGTAATATCACCACAATGGATGATCCAGCAATGTTTTTGTACAGTAGATGTTGATAAATTGTTGATTTTTTTCTTAAATCAATAATACAAGATTCTATAAAGACAGCTATAAGGTGATTCATGATGAAAGGAATAAATATACAAAGATAGAAGGTAGGATGTCTGGTTAGGGAATAGCATCAGTCAGAAACACGTGCGGCCTGTAAAACAGTGACAAATGAGCAAAGTGTGCTCTTGTATGTTCTTAGCTAGGCATTCAGCAAGTTTTCGTAATTATCCTGGCTGCAGAATGGTCGTCTTCATTGTCATTTAAATTCTTTTTTTTCTAGTTTGTTTTGTTCTCGTTCTTTTTCCCCAAGAACGACTTGATCTTAAGAAAAAAAAAAAAGAAAAGAGAAATTATGTATGAAGAAAAATGGGAGCTTATTCAGCAAGTCGAAGGTTATTCAGAGAACAGCTGGTGTAGAAAAATGATTAGAAGATGAAGCCCACTAAAGACTGGAGGGGAATCACACAAAGATGCAATAGACATACCTAATCTATAAAAACCAGAGGCCTCAGGCGGCTCTCTGCCTTTGGGCTCTGAAAAACCTATGCCTGCTCATTGTGCCTCAGCTGTGTAGGGAATCTAGTGTTTCAGGTAAATTGCTTGTGCAAACAGTATGTTTTAATCCTTCTCCTTGCAAGGGAAATCTTCCTACCAGAATCAGTGGATTTGAACAGAATATGTAGCAGCTTCTATAGCAAACCCCTGAACCAAGTCACTGACTGAAACCAGCAGAAGCCTTCTGTGCGCATGTGTGTGTGTGTGCTGAACTCTGTAGGTTTGGAGTGGAGACCTTAATATCTACCACATCTAATTTTGACATTGTTAAAAACCAAGAACTCACTAAAACTATCAGGGCTAATTTCCATTAAAGTTTGTGGGGAGAATATTAAAAAAAAAAAAAAAAGAAAAAGAATATTCTCCATCCTATTTTCCAGTCATTTCTATTTTAAATGTAAAATGTGTGAGTTAGTTTTTGGATGTATCCCAAGGAATCATCTTTCCTAAAATTGAAGGGCTGTCTGTTTGCACAGTGATGTGATAACAGTGGGCAAAATATTTTCCTCTCTTCCTGAATTTTTCTACAGTTTATCATGTCACCTTTTTGTTGCTTTCATAATGCAAAGAAAACTTGTCTAAGCCATTTTGATATGTTCCTCCTCTTTCTCACATTTGTCCTCTAAGTATGCTGAACTTTCTAGTGCTTACTCATCCCTAATCCTCTCTGTTATTCTTGTCCCCACCATTTTCTTTTGTGTTGGTCAATATTCTTCTTTTGGTCTTTTTTTTTCTTAAATGTTGACTTTCCAAAATCATGTTTTGCAAAACATCCCATCTGTTGTGGATGGGATGTAGAAATTACAGTTGATCAGGAGGAAGACAAGATTGAGGATTTGTCATAATCTCTTGCTCACACACAGTCCATCAAGTAAAGGAAATATTAAGGCATGATTTTGGTACCACAAAAGAATTTGCAAGATTCATTGTTGATTTTCTTATCTGGCAAGGCTGCAGGGAAACCACTTATTTTATCTCCGGTAATTCTTAGATGCCAGAATAGGAAGGAAAAGAGAAAAACACAGAGTGGGGAAAGAAAAAAGGTAATGCTTCAAGGCAGGAAATGAAAAATATTTTTCTTTGCCAGGAGTATTTCAGAAAGTGGTTTTGCCTTTTTTTTCTTTTAATTTTTTTCTTTATTCTTGGATGGTAGGAATAATTCCAATTTTAGTAACTCTCAAAACTATGAATGAAAAAATGAGCTTGTGCTGGGTAGAATTCAAAGGACAAAGAATCACACTACTGTTTCAAAGAAGATCTTTATTAAAAACTACCCCAAAACCCAAAAGAACTAATCCATTTGAGACATCGCAGAGTTACAATTTAGTGTTGTACTGGCATGAGTGGTATAAACATGAGTTTGACAGTGTTGGAAAAAGTTCTGAATAAACTTAGCACTGTAGAAAATGTGTGAAGATTTCTGATTTGAGCATATATAGGTCTTCTGTGATTATCCTCACAAGCTTTAGATTTGGATGAAGAATGAGTTGTCACCATTCAATGGACTATTTTTTTGTTTAAAATATATTTTGAATTTATGTGCCTAGAGGCCCTGTCTTGCAGTATGTTCAGAAATCCCTTGTGCTTAGCAAAATTCTCATGATACAAGATGTGTGGTTTTTAATCTTGAAATTCCTATTTTGTTTATTCAGGCTAGTAGAACTAGAGTTTAATTTCAGCCTTGCAAGCTTGTTTTCAAACAGAAGTCTGTACAGAGAAAATATTAATGCTATGATACCTGGAAAAAAAATCTAGTTGTTTTTAGGAAGAAAGTATTTTTTAAGGGTTTTAGAAAAGCAGCCCAGATGAAAGCAACACCTTGGCTTCCAAACTGAAATACTTCATAACTGTTGACAAAGAAAATATGTATTTCTGCAGAAATTAATGTTGCCTGGCAGAACTGTGATCTGCTGACGCTGGCTTGTCTCCTCATGGCAGTGGAGTCAGTAGGAAAGCCTTATTGATGTCAGATGTGTCCAGGTGCCTCCAGTATGGCTCTATTAGTAGCTGTTCTGCAAATAAAAACACTGACGCTCCCAGTAACCTCACTGGGTGGAAACATTCCTGGGATAAGAGTAGTGTTGGCACAAAGAAGGAGAGCATGGTGCCGATAGAAACAGCAGGAGTTAGTGGCTGTGCAAGAGGCAGTGCTGCTTTCTGTGTTGTCTTAACCTTTGAAGCATGTGAAGTCTAACATTTTTTATGAATTTAGTAATTACAGCTATATTGGATGTTATTTTTAGCTGTGTAAGAATTCAGTAGCTTTTCAATCTCACCACTCACTGGCCCAAAGTGACTTCTATTTTGGTAGGTCCCAGAGTATATGGTATCCATTGACGAACTCTCATTCTTTGCCCTTCTAATCACTTAAAAATTTCTTTCTTTAGCCTTCCACTTCTCTGCTGGTGAAAAACATCTCACCAGGAAGATGATACAAGTAGCTAAAACAGCAGGAAGTGGTCTTACCAGAAGCCACTTTAGCGTAATACGACATGTGACAAGGGGTTGTTCACTGAAGATGTGGGTTAAGAAAGAATTGAGGCTACATTAGATTTAGTTGTGTTGCAGATTTCATCCTAGCTTCTCTCATTTTCTCCTTTCTAAGAGAAGCAGTCTAAATCTGCTTTTTCATGTCAGGCTTTTCCCAAACCCTGCAGATGGCATCCCATGTGAGGAATCTCTGCTGTCTTCTATGAAGTTACTGTAACACCCTTTATGTTATTATTTCATATTTTATGTAACATCTGCTTTCTATTTTTAATGTATCACTTATGCAGAAGTCACCACTGAGCTGTAGTGTCCCAGCTACTGAAGTCTGAGACTATATGTGGAAATCTACCTGATTTGTGTGAAAATATTTGTATATAAAAATGTGTATATAAAAAAGTATAGATATACATGCATGTGTGTGAAATCATTTTAAAGGAAAAATCCTCTGAAGTACTCATAAGTCAGTCTTCCCACAGCAAAGCACTAATTGCACACTTTACTTTCAATGTATGTATTAACTACTGAAAGTTAAGCCTGGCTTCAATAAGCATCTGACTGGAGACAGTGTTTGGTTTCTTTCAGGATGGAATATTTAATTGCATAGATCGTGGCAGCAATTACATAAATGAGGTCACAGTGAAAGAGATAATATTCTTTTTAAAAATATTTAAATAATAGCACCCGGTTGTTTGGTTTGTTTGTTTATTAAATATTCTCAAGAAGCAAGATAAAATCTGTTGTCTGGGTCAAAACAATATGTGGAAACCAGTAGTGAGATTTTGTGTTCCTCTGTCCTCTCCTAAGGGAGCAGCAGGAACCCAGGAGGTAGGAGACTGTTTACACTCCCTTCAAGGCTGCAGGCGTGCTGTTAGGGGATGCATCTCACCGGCTTTCTGCATGTGATGGCTTTGTTCTTGTATTCTGACGAGGCATTAAATGCATGTTTCATATGTTTATGCTAACTAGATAGGTGCTTGCTTTTTTTTTTTTTTTAATCAGTGAATCTTAAAAAGGGGAGTGGGATTTTGGTGC